ACCAGTAATTTTCATAGACCTCAACAGCAATATCTTACTCTCCTTATAGCTAACTCTCCCTATTACCGATAGGGCCTTTAAGTAATACATGTTACAGGCAAAAATTAGTATTTCAGCTTTTGACCAAATCACATTAGTGGTAACATTGCTATCAGTCTTCTCATGTTTTTATGAATTGATAGAAAGTTAGGAGAAATTAGTATGATTTCTCTGAAAAATGATTTTGTACCATGGTAGTCATCGATCTAATGGATATTAAAGGTTTTCTTTGCGTTTTTCGTATTTCTTTTCATCCTATTCCTATTTACGTCAGTGTTCTTTCATACCGGTCAGTAAAACAAAATATCAGCGCAGGAATGCTTGCTTTTTCAATTATTCATAAAAGGGTAGATATAATATTTCGCGACTACTGTTATTTGGAAAATGCTTTTCTGGAAAGAATTAGCGGATAGATTGAAAATGTTTCTGGGAAAATATTCATTCTTAGCATATGTTCTCGTTGAACTGATGTTAAAATATCTGTGGGGGTTTTAAATGTAAATCAAATAAATTGCTAAGCACAATTTTGTCTATTTCTTTGAGTAAACTACAATTACGATGAGTAGGTTCCTTCTGTATTGGATTTTATTTACTTTCAATGTAGGTTTCTGTTTGACGGAATTACATGATAGCATCGCTGTACTGGATCATCAGTATAACTCGGAATCCCAAATGGCCACTGGTTTGATCTGATTCCCAGATTGTGCCCTAGCCGTTGAGTGCCTGTCTATCACTACACACTCCCTGGAGATATGTTTCTTTCGTTCGGAAACTCCACTGGACCCGATAGCGTCAGAATAATCAGTCCGCGCGATAAAATACAGATTATTTACGTCGATAAATTCCGCCAAATATCATTCCTGAATACTCTCCTGGTCAACCAATTTCGGCTATTTCCGGTTATTATTTTCAATATTTTTACACACATCTCTTATCGCAAAATCAGTAAATGTTATTTACCATAATAGCGAGGGGTCTAGTACGAAATAGCATGACCTCAAATATATAGAAGAGCTGTTTTAACTGTATATTCTTTTAGTTCCAATTGTTATAAAATCGTAGAGGGGCCTAATTCGAAATAAAACAGGCTCGACTGTCCATTGCTTGCAAATGCCATTGTAATGAACAGGCCTTCAGCTGGTGTTTGTTATATATATTTACTATCGATTTAGCGCGTAAGTACTATACTTAAGGTTCATAAATTAGCATTGAATTCCGAGTCAGTTATCTGTAAAACCACCTTACTAACAGATGCACAAGCATATCTTGTCAGAAATGATAAGCTTGACATCCTTGTATCAACCTGCCTTTCTCTATACCACACAAGTCGAAAGTACAGATGTCAAAAGCAGAACTGGAGCGGAACAAACACCTCAATCAGACTGCAGACACTTCCGTTTCGTCATTTCCTTTGAATGAAGTACATGCCTCTGGACATTAAGTACAAAATCTTGCAGAACAATTTAGCAACGAGAACATGCAAGGCCACTAATGATGTGGATTTATTAACATATTTAAAGTTATTGTTTTTGTATGGAACCTAATGAGGCAATTGGTAGCAGATATAAATACCTGACATGTAATAATATCTAACTTATCATCATTAAATTACTACTAATGTATTATCATCTACAATGTATTTGAGCTCAGAGAATATTTATATGGATTAGGGATTTCTTATATGAACCTTAAAACTGTTAAGAGACGACTTCAAAACGTGATCAGTATGGAAATATACGTATCCATACCACCTGGCGTAGCATTTATTAGTTCCCCTTCATACATCCTGCCAAAGGACCGTGCGATAACCAAGGTACTTCTGTACACGATCTTTAGTGATATATTAAAGTAGACAGAGGAGAGAATTAGGTTTTCAGTGTAGGGGTCTCAGAATACCCCATAATGTATGATATTCGGAAACAAAACCTAACTACAAAGGATACACCACAAGGCACGAAACGCACAAATACCTACAGAGTTTGAATAACAAACATTTCTTTCATTTTTTGATGGATTGCCTTGAAATGTTTCACTGCTAGAGCCGTCGACCTATATGCTAGTGTGTCACAAGCTTCCAATTTATCATTCGGTCGTAGCTATGCTTCTTGTAAATGATTATAGAAAAGATCTTTATAACCCGGCGGTGAAATGTTCAAGTCTTGGAAAGAAAAACTAATGATGAACTCTGAGTGCGGCAGACGCTTGTTATTTTTACTTCGGTAGGTTATCACAGCTCGCAGGTTGAAAATGTTGTCTGTGAGCGAGAGATGGTCTTACGCCTATCGACAGATGTCAGAGAGAAATAGAAAACTCCTAAACACACAATAAATACTTTTGTTATCAGTATTCTCAATGTTCCCCGAGGTATTTCTCGAACCTTTGAAGGCAAATGTTTGAGAATTTTTCAGACCCTATCATGATGACCTCTGATCGGATGAACTCATCTTTTCCATAATCTACACAAACTACGACAATTCCACGTGCATTTGGTTTTGCATGGGTTATCATAACTCTATTTTCAGATCGGAACATCCAAACTTCCGCATGCTACCAGCACTCTCTCGTGGAGTTTCTCACAATCTAGGTTATCATTGTCTCTCAATTGCTGCCGATTTAAAGCGCATGAATGAACTTGGAATTCGGAAGTCAAAAGGTTTCGCACAAGATACCGAATAATAGACGATAGGTCTTTTGGTAAACCAACAAGTTAACAGAAAATTGATTTATAATTCCCAAATAAGATTTGTGTATTCCACACAAGCAGTTCAATTATGAAGTCAAGATCCTGTTTACTATGATGAATTCTCTTTTCTTTTTCTTTTTGTATTTAGAGCGTATCATCTTTGTGAAATGTCATAAAGTTACTCTCTTCACATCTCTCTCCATGTATCGAGCTCTCTAACTCTCTCAAATGAGTTTCACAAAAGGTTCATGAAACGAGCTTAGGCTTATTTTATTCAATATATTTATTTGTTTAAATTTTAAGAGATATATGATATAGAAAGAAATATCTTCTTAATTATCATTACTAAAAGAACTATTGTCTGAAATCATCCAAGTATTGAGAAGTATGTGGTGTCGCTATCTTGAAGCTCATAATGCGCAAAATAGTGCATGGACTTACTTAACCACGATAGTTATGTGACGAATACATGTATATGAAATCAAGATGGACTGTATCAGTTGTTATGGCGTCTGTGAGAGTCTTTGTAGCAAGCGTTGGTCCCATACGTTATTGATCAATGTACCATTCCTGTCAGCACCCATCTCGATATACCACGGTAATACATAGGTTTCGCTACGCCTTTTCTATATGGCATTGTAATAGCATGTGTAATGGCATACACATGATAGTGGGTGCACACCTCAGTAAGGAGGGGGATTTAGATTTAGATTAAACTCTTCTCCTTTTTCAACCTATCCTATATGGATAAATGCCATGTTATGCTTTAAAAATCTTAACTCTTTTGGCATTATGCATCATCTTACTAACTTTATAGGGGAGATCGGGACAACTTCGGCCCGTTTTTATTAAATTCGTTCTGGATAGTGCGGTATTGGTTGCAATTCATGTGTTTATATACCATTTTGAAAAGAAATGCCATGCCTTTCATAAAATAATAACAGGAGGGCAAACACGCCCGTATTTGAAGAATTATTCAACATTTTCTGTCGGAAGGTTGGATGGCCGAATGTGTCCTGCCTTGGAGCAAGATCGAACAAACAATCTGGAGTAAGGTCAAACAACGTTAGAATCGGCATAATCATATTTCTAGTGATTGCTCGAGTCGAATTAAGAAATTACATAGCTCGTAATTGACCAAAACAAATGTCCATAATACATTCAGTCGAGTGATGGAACTAAATATATAAAGATAATTTTATCAAATGACGTTCTTGAATGTAACATTGAATTTTTATAATTTTTCCATACAATTATATGTATTGTAAAATAGAAAATATTGTTTACCACAGCGTCAATGCATTTGGACAAAATCGGTACAGCAAGGAGCCAACAACAGGAATAGAGGAAACACCAAGACAAAGAATAACAACCATGAACTACTACAAAAACAAGCCAGTGTGACGGAAGGGTCATCATTTTAGCCATCATATTTTGGAACCGTCGCCATGTCTTCTGTTAAATTCAGTAAGGTCGGTCACCGCCTATCTAAGTTACATGTATTTAAATAACGCACTGACAGCCGAAAGTTGGAAGCCGGATCGGGATGCTTATAAACTTCTTTCGTGAATATTGCCGATTCTTCCAGAGCAGCTTGTTGAAGGTTATGCTTGTGATAAATACGGGTTGAATAAACTTTCTAATTCACCAAAAAATAAATATTTTTTATTAAAGCTGAAATAAAAACCATCAACGATGGAACCATATCTCGGCTGTCATTTCACTGACAACATACGAGTAGTGGTGTTGAGGAAATCAGCTCTCAGATAGGGTTTTATATTTGTGAAACAATACACAAAACAATTACGCATACTGTCAATTAGGACATACTCTGAAGCATCAAAATAATCTAAAGGAATTGTTTGGAATGGGTAAATACCTTATACTATCAAAATCTAAACATTTTAATATCTCGTTCCCTGGGGGTTTTCCATGATAGCATCAGTTGATTTTGTTTGCCAAAATTTTAGTTATTCTTTGAAGTATGTAACACTTGTCATTACCGTGTTTCGTTTAAATTGCATTTAGAGGAACATGCGAAATATCCTACAAAGTACTGCCCAATGATGATACAAGGGACATCCCTGAAACGCTACGCATCAGGCTCACATATAATATTTTTTTATTATATTTGAGAGGTTTTTTTCTACACATGGCGTTTAAAAACAACTGGTTTTCAATTTCCGACGAAAATTAAATCCCCCCGAAATACAGGTTTTTACAGTACATGATCAACTCATCCCATTCACAGTTAAGCATTTTATATTCCAACGCTTACCTGGCCTTTGGCGTTTCCCATAGTTCCATTGACGTCCACTCCCGACCCATTCGACGTAAATAATCCATAGTTAGCAGGAATGGTCCAGGACAGGTAACAGACGAAAAAGACTAGGAAGACCATGTTCAATTTCTCGATCACGCAGACGACACGTTTTGAGCGGCAAGTTTTCCCGCCAGTATTTTCCTCGGAAATCTCAACAGATGTTGTGGTGATCGTCTGCTCCGAGGTTGACGTCGAAGCAGGTTCCTCCCTCGTATTCATATGACCTGTTTGGCAGCGGAACCATCAATTAATTACTGACCGGAAATAGCTATGTTTGTTTTGATTGCCAATAATGACCGCTCCCTGTTACTTGTCGTCATGGTAATGAGAGATCACAGATGTATATTTGTTTAACTTACATTAACGCATTTTTGTAAAAGCCACAATTTACAGGTGGACGGGAGTAGTTCTCTGAGATACATAAATACACGATAATAAGCTACCCACTGATCTCTCTCTTAAACATCAGAAACGAATTATCTATATTCGATGAACATAGGGGGCGAACAATCCGACCAGGCTCGTTAGCGGTATCCCTTATAGCCTCTGTGTCGGTAATACGTTAATTAATAGTCCAAGTCATGATTGTTATGTATCCTTCTCTTTGTGTATCGTGAGGGTATGAGGGATAGCAGTCACACCGTGTTTACATTCTGATGACGGTTCGCTCTCTCCAATTGCTGTGATGTTCCATACATTATCTCCACATCCTTTCATCTCTGCTGGCGCACATTTCAAAAGCCAGGGAGGGTGTCGATACCACTTAGTGGTGTGAATATCCAACGCGTGTCCGAACCCTGTGTGTAGCACGAGAAAATGTTTCAAAATTAAAAAGTATGTTCTAGATAACAACTTTCAATCACAATTCAGTCACTCATCATTGTTATAGAAATTTGTCGATAAAACTTCACGTGAGCATTCCATTAACGCCAATATCAGTCACTAAAACTTCAAGGACATGGAAATAGACCTTGATATAATGAACATCTTTTCACTTGGACCTTGAAACTTCAATCTGGATTCTAAGGTGTGGTATGGTCACTTATAACGTCCTCCTTTATAAATCAAAGAAAATAAGAGAAACATTAACTTATATCAAGTAAGCATAAGCGACTCCATCATAAGTGATACACACATACTGTACTCTAACGCATTGAGGCATGAAAAATCTCCTATTGCATTTTGCTGAATTCTTTTGTTTCGCACGTGGAACATTGTTAGAATGAAACCCTACAGGACGTTAGAAGTTACATATCCGCATACATACACTATCCCTGACTGGGGAAAAAGGAATATTAAAAGCAAATAAAACTTGTTTAAGAAAAAACAGATTATTTTAAAAGTTTTTGCGTTCACTGATAACCCATGACTGATTTGCCAGTCTGTACGGGAACACAGGAACTACCTTCTAAACAAACACATGTAGGGTGCTATCAGAGCGGTGTCCCCGGGGCTCACACAACGCGGAAATGTGTGTTCTCGATAGGGGGCAACTTTTATACCACACAGCGCCCCATGTAACATACAAATACTGTCAGTGCCCTTCCAAAATGACTTCATCTGACGCCCAAGCCGACTATCAAATCTGACAAGAAAATTACAACAGAAAAAATACGGATGGCGCTTGTACTACTTCTCTTATATAAATCAAATAATTAGCATTTTCTTTCCTAATTTTTGTTCCTGTACTTCATTAACAAGATTTCCGTGAATTATCCTTTTATACTTTTATACGTTTTTCGACGAACAATTTTACCGTAAAAATACAAAATTTCAAATAAAAGACTTATTTTAAAGTTCAATGACAGAAGTCAATACCGTAACCATGGCGTTAAAGAAATGCTGAGCACGTATTCATTACCAACACTGCTGTTAAATCACATTAATACTTTAAAATTGTGTTTTGTTGTATTTTATTCATTTTCCAAGAGTGTAACAAGATAGATGGGTCTCTGGTTCCGGAAATACCGCTGTTAGATATATACCCTGTTCCACGCTGGCTTTTTATGGTGATGACTTCCTACAATCTATCGTATTGTTCTTAGCCATCATGATACGGATAACTCCAACCCATATGGAACCCATACTGATAACACTGTTTATGTGAGGGATCTTTCTCATAATTTCCATTAAAAGCTTATAATTTCTTCAGACGTTCATGATACCTACTTTGCTTGAGTTATTTAATTTATAACTCTTCGTTAAAGCGAAATTATAATATAATGTAATAAATAACTCTTAATTATAAAATAACTAAAATTTCGTGTAACTCTTTATTATAATGTTATTACATAATCATATCAATTAACTCTTTATAAAATGTAATTACAATTAATCATTCTATTATTTGTTAAAATAAACTTACGATATCCTCTAATTAAACTTACAATGTTATTGCAATATTATATCATTTTATTGTTATAAGGATGTTATTACAATAAGATGTTATTTAATTCCTTAACACAAATATTACACAGTTATTTATAACGCAGATTACGATGCTATCACAACGTATCAGTATTACAGTCATACCACTTAAAATTCTCTCTTTCGACGTATTTGTAGTCATATTTTTTTATATATTACACAGTTATGCCAATTATAAATCACTGTTTTATAATGCATCCATAAATCCCTGCAAAAATCGGCGTTGTCATATTGACTTGCCACTGCTCATGTTTCTAGTAAGCAGTCGAGTACGGCAACTTGATTTGACAGCGATACGTTGTGAAAATTAAACTTGTAAATTACTAAAATTTTCATGTGAAATTGAAGTATATTTATAAACACAATATTTCGCATATTGGTGAAGGCAGACACTAAAGTAGACTTTGTGACATCTACGCATTCCTTACTCAGTTAAGGTGTCTGGTATTGTGTTCAAGGTAAGTGTAAGTAAGTAAAATGCACGGTATATTATCTTACGTCCACCTTTATAGTCCTGATGTAAGCGATATAGAATGACTTGTGATATCGTTGTAGGGAACTTTCTTTATATCCAATGACAATAAAATGCCATTTTTCATAAAAAAAAATCAACAGTATCATAATTAATGTATATAATACAATTGACGTATCTCTGATTTCACAAGCTGCGACAAAAACATGCAGATTTATTGTTTGCCTACCTTGATGACGATATCAATACGGACAGGGTGCACTCTGCTAATATCCGACGGAATGAACCTGTTGCTGATGGGTGAAGTTATATAAATACATATGTACATGTCACCCTTGCACTGCCCAGTGGATAAAGCGCGCCGCTTGCACCTAACACATGTCACCCGACCTGAGCCACTGGCCCGCCGTACGCCCCCATGTTGCCGGCCATTAACAGGACCATGTGCCTCTCTCTATCTCCATTTTACAGCCAAACAGCACGAACCCTGGCCAACAACATGTGTCCAAAGCCTCAACAGCCAAATCATAAAAAATACATTTATACACACACGCGCGTAAAATAAATCCTGACCCGGCCTCGCGTGCCAATCACTGATAATCCGTCTTCCGCAATCACTTGGACCCAATCACGTGTAACGTCTACTCGACACTCTCTGCTGCAGCAGGGAGGCTGACAGACGGGTACAGCATCCTCCTGTGGCGTGAAGAACATAAACCAGAAAAAAAAATCTTGTTTGTTGAATTTTTTGGAGCTTCCTCATCGACGTGCGAAGGGTGCCTGTTGTTTTCAAGAAGACATAAAAAGAGTTTAAATGTAAGGCTGTCAGTCAAGCTCGCTTTGATCTTTAAGGCGATTTGAGGCGGCAAAGCACGTTGTTTTCTTGGTGGTAGGTATTAAGACGTAAGACCCCTTTACTCGCTTAAAAGACATAAAGATATCAAATCGCGCTTACCTATAGGATTGTTTTTTTCTACTATTTACTGGTGTCTGTTTCTAAAATCTTTCTCTGAGTTCTATGTATAACCAGGTTAAAGCAATCTTACGATAGACGAGTGTTAGACGAATTAGATATTGGGACACGGCCTAAATCCGATAACGTCACTGGCGATTGAATTTCTCTAAGATAGATCAGTTAATGCCCATGCATCTTATACTTGAACATTCCTTTTACCAGGTGTTGTCTCTTTCTATCACATAATCCTACCGGCCAGACTGGTGTGGCCTTATCCTCGAACTCCATCTCTACACCTAGCCACTTCGTCTGTAGCGGGACATGCCAGACCACAGTATACTGTGGCATCAGCCACGTGTCCGTAAATCCACACTCCTACCGTAATCGAGCATTGTCATCACACAGATAACTTCGACATACTCTGATTATATGTTTTGAAACATATCTAAGACTTATGAAACATAACTATACTACGGCTAAGGGCCTCATTAGCTTGGCGAAAAGAGCTTTCTAATGGTGGTATAGCCGGATTTTTAATCCAATGGCACGAGATGGGTTTTCACTCCACCTAATTTCCTTACATTAATATAAATTATTTTGATGAGAATGAAGTTACGTAGTACGCGATTTGTTAATTTCTGTATTTTGAGTCACACTTAGTCGTTAATACCGTTAAGCTAACAAGGCTAGCTGGGCTGCGACATGGTGCCAGTAGATAACCCTGCAGATTTTGTCGCTACCCCAGGGATTAACCCGTCTGTTGCAGTTAGGCTCCCGGTTTATGATAACCAGTTGTTTTGTTATTATTTACTGATAATCTGAACGTGTCTCGTACAAATGGCTGTTCTTGGTAAGCGGATGAATCTCGGATTAGTTGTGACACTGATTTGATCTGACATTAATGTACTAAGGGTTCGTTAGTGTACTGCGTACGTAACACTGATGGGGCATCACTGATAACCACTGATTGGATAACTCCATTAACTGACCGCAAGTGTAACGTCACAATGCATATGGTTTGACTTGTGTTATGACATGTAACTTAATTAAACATTTTCTGCATCAGTACCTAATATATGTTCTTACTGAGAAAATTTAATTAACTTTTTAGAAGAATAAATAAAAATAAGACTATGTTATGTTAGGTAACGCACGACTACTACATGCACATTAGTTTTCTCTTCATTTTAATGGTCATTTATTGACCCGAATCTTAAACGTATTTAACTCTAATCAGACGGTGTCTATATGTTTGTCTTGAACCGTTAACATGTTAAAGAGCGCACTCCAAACGACATAAGACTTGTATTCTCTTACACATCATTACACATTAATTTGAATTAGAGCTAATCTGAGTAGTATTGCATACATTGTGTACCTTTCTAACGTGTCATCAATAAATGTGTACCTCTCAAACGTGTCATCAGTAATGTGTACCTTTTGAACGAATCGTCAATTGATGCGTACTTCTTAAATGTGTGGTCAATTAAACTGTACCTTTTAAACATATCGTCAATTAATTTGAACCTCTAAAACATATCATCTACTAATATGTACCTCTTAAACGTGTCATCAAGTTAGGTGTACTTTTTACGTGTCATCAATGAATGTGTACCTCTCAAACGTGTCACTACTTAATGTGTACCTTTCGCGAACGTATCGTCAATTGATGTGTACTTCTTTAACGTTTGATCAATTGAACTGTACCTCTTAAACATATCGTCAATTATTGTGTACCTCTTGAACGTGTCACCAATTAATGTGTATCTCTTAAACGCGTCGTCAATTAATGTGTAACCCTTAAACGTGTCGTCAATTAAGGCATACCTCTTTAACGTGTCGTCATTTAATGTGTATTTCTTAAATGTACTTCTTAAACGTGTCATCAAGTAAGGTGTACCTTTTAAACTTGACATCAGTTAATGTGAACCTTTCAACCGTATCGTCAACTATTTAACTAATCCATATGACCATTCCTCAACTTTGAAAGGGTTTTAGCGTGGAACTCTTTTACGAGATATAGGCCACAGATAGGTAGCATACATCCTTAAGTTTTCATATCACAGTAAGGTAACATATATCCTGAAGTCCTCATGTCATAGCAAAGTACATGTAGTTTACATTAAGACCCCAACTCTTTATGTCATAGTTGAGTCAGCATACGTCCTAGGCCTTAAGACCTCTTGTTACAATAAGACATCAATGACATGCAAGCCGCGAACATATCTTAATAATCTTCCGTTTAAATTATAATCAGCTACTAAATAGTGTGAATTTAGCAGACCTCGCTGGTAGGGGGCTCCCCAGCCATTAGAAACCTAAATTTCACTCCAAGGTAGAACTAGAAAATTATATCTTTATTATATTGATGTATTTATTCATTTTATGTATCAGTTTTGTTTTTATTTTTTAAAGACATCGTGTGTTGATGCAGTAAATGTGAAATAAACCTTTTATTTATTATAGTATATAATATGTTTCGTGTGCAAAGATGTTTCTTATTTAACACATGTACAACATTTAATTACAAGAAACACCTGTGGTGTAAATTAATTAAACACCTGTACATAGACACGTAGCACCTACTATGTTCTCAAGTGACCGTGCAAATTTTACCCGAAGTTCGCGGGACCCCGGCGAGGAAACGGTCGGTGTTAGTGTATTTTATAATTGTGCGATGCGATATGACCGGTGTCTCCTAGAACTTCACAGAATGCACCGTTCCGGATGTAAGGTTGTTCTTGACAATGATTGCTCCCTTCTCTTTTCATCTTGCCGTCATAATGTGGGTCCGATCATAATCTCAATAATTCAGCACGCCATGCCTAGTCTCTGGGCATCTCTTGTAGGTGCTCTTCTGGTGTGGTCTTCAAAATCGATGTTTATCAGATCGGCTGGATTTTTTCTGGCGGGTAAAAGATAAATACCAGTAAATAGTACTTAAGGTACACTAAACATTAAACACAGAACAGGAAAGTGTATTATTTTAGTTAAGATGTTTGGATTCTATGACAGTTCATATCTATCTGAATGGTACAGTTCCCTAGGGTATGCTCGATTCCAAGTACATTGTATGTTATCTAGTGATGGTGTAACCTCAGAAAAACTGTTTCAATACTATTTTGTTACATTTTGAAATACGTAAAAAAAAAAAGGAAATAAGTCGTACCAAACCATCATTATCAACCCACATGCAAGTGTCAGGTGTCAGATTATCAAAAATACAAAGACATGAGCCAATATATCAAAAGACAACGGAAGGAAACATGAACGACAATATATCATCAATACAAGAATAATTTGCAATATAGATGGAGAATGATGATAATGATGTAGGGAGCCAGCCACTCGTTACCTTAAGGGATCCCATACCACTACAAAAAAACTCTATACGCATTGGAAACTGAATTTGTGAAAAGAAAAATGCATTGCGGGACTTTTATGAAAGAATAATAAACATGAAATAAACTAAACAACAGTGATCTGAGTGTACATTTTCAGCGGGACTTAATTGACCGGGATTCGAACCCTGGACTTCAGATTGTTATTCTATCGCTCTTACCAACTGAGCTACCTTAAGTCAATGGAAATTTCCTGGACCAACTGTGCTACATTTATAACCAAAACGAAATTAAGGGTAGGTTACTTACTGTAGATCCTTACTTTAACAACATATAGTCGATGTGCACAACTTGTACTCAGTATTACGGCTGGCTTTCAGAAGTCTACCTTTCAATCAATCCAATTAAAATATATACGAAAAACCGTTAAAATATTTAATCCGACCCTTAACAGAGCTGGTTTGTGTCCAGTTCTGTTGGTATTTTGTGTTTTATTAGCTCAAGCTTAACAAGCAGGTCAAGCCCAGATATTTCTGGACTAATCAAAATGGCTTCAATTTGCCTCCATGATTTCCCAGTTGACCAACGGCAATTCTTGCCATAGAGTACCTCCTGAATAACACAAACGGGCTGGAAATTGGAGATGGAAGTCATTCATTAAAAATTACCTCACGTCTTATACGATTTCTCAGCACGTATTAGCAATGGTTGATTATCACTTCAAATTTACCAAATAACTTACTTCTGAATACTCCTCCCCTCCCCTCTTCCCCCTCCCACTCCCGTATATACCATAGCGTATCTACACTTCCCTGACCCCGTATACAATTTTGTTATTTTTAAGTCATAGTACAGTTCCACCGTCATTCAATCGAGGTCCCTTCGGGAGGGTCTCGCCGTCCATTATATATAAAAGTTTCCGGTCAGTTGCGCTGATCTATAATCGTTGGATGTACTTGATTGGAGGTTCCGCATACGTTCGTCACACACGCCGGCGCCCGAGTCACGGCGGTGCACTTGAGACGAGTGCATCCAGTCGTCTTGCATGCTCGGATTACATCGCCCCCACACATGGCTATCGTTCACTGTCCCTCCATCCACTGCACCCGGCAGTGTGACAATGGACGTCTGATACCATCGTCTCCATCCGCCTCCAGTGGAGGTCAAATCCTTCCTTTGTCTGGTGACATAGGCAATATTTTAACGTCAGCAAAACCTACCATCACATATCAAACGACGGATGTACATTATAGAGAAAAATACGAAATATGTATACAAAACCTATCTATCTCTCTGATGAATACGTTATGCTAGGTTTTACCCATTTGGAGAAGACTGTATCCTTCTCCGGTTCATTGGTCACAAAGTGTTCCTATCGATCAAACACAAAACCTCACTAACGTACTATGATTAAAATTTCTTTAAGATATAGTGATAGATTCACTAAACCTTGGTAACAACTAGTTTTCAAAT